ATTATTATTATTATTATTATTATTATTATTATTATTATTATTATTATTATTATTGAGATCCCTGTAAAATAAATTTCTTATTAATTCACTTGGTGTCTCACTTGTTATTTGAGTGAGGGTTACAGTTTCATCTGTTTTTCAATTTCCTTCCCCTACATTTTGAAATCACATTTTCCATCATGGACCTTTCGTAAGTTCCGCTCTCCTCTTCTCGAAGGCTCTAAGTCCCATTTGGGTTACTGACTTGAAGCTTAATTCAAACCGATCCCAAAATCCTTCCACCCTTTCTGATTGTGCTGATAACAGCCCTTATGTGACGTCAAGACCGATCCTGACGAGTGCGTGGCACCGTGAGTGCGTGCGCGTGCTGGGGTTCGGTCTGAACCAGCAGCGGAGAAAACATCTGGATCGTAAAGGAGTGAAAAAAGGATGTCGAACCACGCTGAACTGCTACTGCTGCTGCTGGGCCGTGTCTCTTTCAGCTGCCCGTTCGGTCGGTGATCCCCTCATGGAGGGGGAATAACTGGGTCACTCGAAACTCCTCCGCGGATTCACATTGGAGAAAGAAGAAAAAAAAAACGTGCTGCCGAAGTTGTCTCAGTTCTTCACCATGGATCAGTCCGTTGCAATTCAGGAAACTTTGGGAAAAGAAGAAAACTGCATTGTAGTATCCTTTGAGCCGCGCATGGTTTCTAAGTGATCGGAGATTCAAAATAAGGACCGACTGCTTCAAACTCACAAACTGGACCGACAAGATTCTCGAGATACAACCCAGGTTGAGGCCTGTAAGATTAAGCTGTGGGAGTTGATCGGGATTTTATCACTTAACTGAGTCATTAGGCTTGTGATTTCGAACCAGAGTCAGCCTGAACAGTTTTGAGCAGCAAAAACGGGTTTGGTCTGCAATTAGTTCCCCAAAATAGCCTTTTTCATAGAATTGCAGTTGCGCATGTCACCCACAAGATGGCGACATCGTATCAACAGCTCATGATTTCTTCTTGTTGGGAGTGTTAAGGAGGTTTGATAGCATGTGAACGTGCAGTAATTTGCATACAGAAAATAGATTTGAATTAAGGACACAGCTCTTGAAATGTCTACGCAAATGTTTCAGATGTTTTTTATTACATATTTTTCTGTTTTTGGCTGAATAGTTGAATTTAAATTACACTTTCCTTAACTAAACTGCAAACATGCTGCACAATGTGATATCTTGCTTGATGATTGCTCAGAAAACAGACTTCTCGGACTGGTAGAGTGTGCAAAAGAGCATGCGTAAGTTCAAACAAATTAAGGAAGCTTTACATGGCTTTTAACCTTCATATTCTTTGTTATTTTTGTGCAATAAAAATGAATAAGAAAAGGTGCGGACAAAAACCTCGTCCCGCCTTTTGATTTTTAAATCTTTATTTCCTTCTGAATCACAAACTTAACTGAAACTGACTCTATCATTGGTATTTGTCTAATACTTGTTGCAATTATGTAAAATTATTTGCAGAATCTTTATTTATACCCATCGGAGAATGGCCATTACAGCTGATGATGTGTCACTTGAAGATATTTTACCCATCACCCTCGACTTTGCTGTTGTTGAAGGTAATTTTCTTCTGATATTAAGTATACAGTCTCTTGCAAAAGTATTCGATTTAGCTCTGTCAATCTTCCCTTTAACTTTTACCCTGTCAACCAAAGTATCCTCACATCTTGATGTTGCCACCAACATGTGTCATTGTTGGGTTGATAAGTTCAATGTGATGTGTGTTGCTAGTTTCGCTCCACAAATGAGTTTGCATATAATGCAAAAATGTTTCAGACTTGGTGCGATTTGACCAGCACACCTTCATCCACTTGCTTGCTGTGTCCCATACATTGCTTGTGGCAAACATTAAGCTGGATTTATTTTTCTTTCAATAGTTGATTTATTATTGCCACCTTTTCATAAAGGTTACATTTAGGGAGTGCACAACTAATAGTTTTTCCGTGACCATCAACAGAATGCTATTAACTGGATCTTTTCAGCTCCTCCATACACATATTAACCACTGCTTATGATTATTGCTCTTTTTGCCAAACAGTGGCTTTAACAGCACTAAGTGAAGTTGTAGAAGCTTGTGATTCTGCTTTAGATTTATTCACAGCTTTGTCTCTAATCTATTGGGTGTGTGTCTGATGCTGTTTGATCACTAGATTAGCTTTCTGCTGAAGGGAGTTGGTTTCACTGGATTTTATTGGAAATATGAGAGTAAAAGGGGCTGAATAAAATGCACATCACACTTTTCAAATTTTTTTTGTAACAAAAACTTTGAAAACCACGGGAGAATGGTGATAGGAGTCTGTCTCGCAATCGGTGGGTTCAACAGATATGAATACTTTTGCAAGACATGCATTTGCTGGCACTTTTTAATAAAATTCTTATTGCCTCTAAACTGAAAAGCAAATAAAGTATAATATGAAGCACCCTGACATATTTCTCATGCTGCTTTCTCTATAGTTTCTTCTCCAGAGCAGCTTGTGGTTGTGGGTAAGTTGCCCTCGTTTATCTGAAGTCTCAGACGTCATTATCTTGCATAACTGATCTACCGTACAGAAAATTAATCTTGCAATGTTTTTTTCCCCTGCCACACTTTTTATCTTATGGTAGGTGCAGACACCAGAGTGAGAATGAGCTACAAAAATGAAGAATTAGAGCTCAGGCTTCCGTTTGGGTCCCACTCTCGCCTCTTTCTCTGTGAAGTCAACAAAGCTTGGAGTGGTAGGGTGAACTGTTTGTGGTCTGTTTACACAACAGCCAGCATTTGACAAAATCTTCCACAGCTTTGGAACATTTTAAGGAGCAAAATATAATCAAATTTTATATGTTTATTAGAAAAGTAGCACGGATGTATTGCAAAAACATACGTAAATGGTAAATGGACTGAACTTCATGTCATCATGTCTGAACAATGACATCAAAATTAGACAAGCCTTTATTTAGAAGGAAGTCTCTGTTGCTAGGGACGGTCAAGTTCACCACAAGCTCACACTACTTTCACAGTGGAAGCATGAACGACGCATTACGGGTGCTGTATCATGAATGTTCCTTTTGTTTTTGTTGTACTCAAAGTAGAGCTGTTAATGCTTTGCTGTGAAAGATATCACATTGTTTTCTCTTAATCTATTATTCTTGCTGTCTCTGTCCATCGTCCCTTAGATGTGTGCAGATTTCCCACACAAGTGCCCAAGTTCGAGTGGATCAAGAAGTACAAGAAGTCTATCAAAAGACAGGAAACTATGAAGCAAGCCATTGCACCGCTGGAGGTGTTATCCACTAAAAATAATCAGCACCAGAAAATCGGTTTGTCATCTCTGTTTCATTTCTAAAAAGCTGGGGTCTGTGAAACCTATTGAACTCCTGACAGTGTATGAGCAGGGAGGGATGAAGCAGATGCTTGTTTCTGTGTCTTTGGTCGACAATTTTATGCTTTGGAGGATTGCAACATAGCAATTTCAAAAACACCACTTCCTTTGGATGAAACTCTGTCATCCTTCAAAGGGTTTTTTACATAACCTTATCACTGGTGAAATAACACCATGAATAACGTGACAATTTCTGAGGCAGACAGATTTGGTGGCACACCTGGTAAAGATATGCAAAAAGTTTGAAAATAAATTAATATTTTAATGCTGTAGCATAATTGCTAACTGAGAAAAATAGGGGGGGGGGAGGATCTCATTTGATTTGAGGGCATTTACTTAGTGAGGTTTGGGGAGTCCTATGTTATGTAGCTCTCTTGACTTCTTCAGCTCATACCATAAATTTAGAGGTTTACCTTGAATAATGCAAGTTCAGAGAAGTTTGCAATATGAGTATTGCACACACACACACACATACACACATACACACCAAATATGGGATTGAAACTACACATTGGGCCACTGGTATTCACGGGGTTAGGAAACACAACCATCCATGAATAGCAAAAATGTACATTTCATTATGACATCAAATACTGAAAAGTGTTGGAAAGGTAGCAATCTGAAATCGTCTCAGTAGGGCAGTGTTGGTACACACTTGTTATTCTTCATGTAAGCAGAAAAGCTTGTGAGTTGCTTTTTATTTGTGTACAATGTTACATCTGTGTTTTGTGCGCTCCTGCGGACACGCATGCAAAACAAAAATCAAATGCACAAACACTAACACACACAGATCTCTGCAAGCTGAATGAAACATTTCTGACCATGTTGGTGTTGGTACAAAACAAACAAACAAAAAATCTTTTTCCGAGCGTTGAATTCCCAGCCAAACACTTAGGGCATGAAGTATTTCCCAGTTGCATTTTTGCAGCTTGTTCTTCGTGTTTTGTCTTTTCACTGCAGCAAGGAAAAGCAAAAACCCCTCCTCCTATTACAACGTTAGCATGGGCAGGTCTGAAACACAATGTACATTGATCCTCTGCACAGAATGCGTGGGAGCGACACAAGGACATGTCTGAGATGACGAGAGACTCTGGTATGAAAATCATTCCCAAAGCATTGATTGTTGATTCTGAGGAGGCGAGAGAAAACACAGAAGGAGTTGTCAGGGAGCTGAGATTGGCTAACTTTTTCTAGCTAATGCTAACAAACAGCAATTCGATCAGGATTAGTGCTGCTAGTTAGTTTCAACGTTTTGCGGGAGTCATTATGAGGAAATGTATCGCTTATTTTATGTCCCTTTAGTAACGCTAATGTTGGCCACTTGCCCACTTTTGTTGACTTGAAAACATGGATATTGAAACGTCGCGGCTAACGCTAGCAGCAGGATTTAAATGATGTCGATGGTGGGGCACCTGTTGTGGCTGATGTTGCTCAACGTGTTTAAGTGGTTAAATATTCGTGTCCTTTCACACGTTTGAATTGCTATCAGCCTGTTACATTTCCTGGCTTTTCACTGTCTGTCTACTCTTCTGTTGCCTTTTTTTCTTGCTCTGTCTTTTAGTTTAAAGCCGAGAATTTGTTGAGGTCAGAGTGCCTTTCACTTTAGAAATTCTGCTTTAAAAAATAATAGTTAAGCTTCAAGCAAAAACCTTGCTTAACCTGACTTTAAGTAGTTTTAAAACATGTCAGTCATACCTGAAGCTGAAAATATGTTACATAAAAAAAAGCCTTGCTTAACCCATGTTTAGGTGAATTCTCGTTGTTGATACAGCAAGGGAAGATGGGGAAGTTATGTAATTTTGAACTTTGTGCAGTTGTAGTGATAAAAAGGCGTTAATGTTTTAATACGGAAGAGAATGAAGGCTGATGAAACGAGCTTACATGTATGCTGAGTAAAGATTGACCCGCTGATAAAAGCACATAAGCGTGTTCAGTTTCTTATCTCCATATCTGGCAGTGTAAGCTCTTCCTAGAAACGCTAGAGCTTTTTTTTTTTTTTTAACAAAACCTTATAACTTAAGAGCTACTAATAATGTGAATTATTGTTACAAACCTAATTCAGAAAAATTCAGGCTTTAATAGATTATTTTTGATAACTATTGCTTGCATGGATTTTACAGTTTGTTTTAATAGCAGGTGTTGCACAATTCACAAGCAGTTGAGCTGTTTTTATTTGCTTTACCATTGCTTTTGTCCAACTAATGACTAATATACTGCATGTCAGTACAGCTGCATGAATTATTTTATCACAGTTGCTGTTGCAATATCTTTGCAGTCGCATAAGGTTATTTGTCTAAGTACCAATAATTTGTAATCTAAATGTCTTTAATAGCCAGATTTTTAAAAAGTTACTACCTCAAAAGTTCTATTATTCAGAGACATTATAAAGTGCAAGGGATATTGCACTTTTCATGATTTTGGTGGATACTGCAAATGCATCGTTGCCCTTCAATTTTCTTTTGCTGTGCTGTGCCCGTGGGCTAACTGAATTAAGAAAGCTACATGCTTTCCTCGCTTGCAGATAAGATGTGTTTTGCTGTTGTGAAAGACATACTGTCCGAACAGCATATCTGATAGGCCAGCCACTGCCAACTGTCTTCCTGAGCAGATATCTCAACCAAAACCTTTGTACCACATTTTATCCTATGTTTGCCTTTCTTTTTCCAATATGCAACATAACAAACTTAATAGCTAATTAAGTAGTCTGGTGTCTTTTCAGGTAGGTCCTGCAGTCCATATTCAAATCTATTGCTAATGGTTGCCAACTGCAATTTGTTAACCACGTTGTCTTAATAGGAGTGAGTAGTGATCCTCCATTTTTAACACAGTGAGTTCCATATCTTTATGACCAGGAATATATTTTCACTATTGCATCTGTTTTTTGGAGAGGTGAAGGAAAACAGTAGTGGCATAGTTTTAGCCTGCTGACCGGCAGTGAGTAGCAATAGGTGAGGCAGCAGTTTGTCAGCTCTATACAGCCTAGAAAACTTGAATCACTCATTTACTTCTGATGGTAAAAATACTTTACCTTAGTAAAAATATCGTAGGAAATGTTAGTTTTGAATCTAATCTCTTTTGGCATACCTTGATGTTGGTGATCCAGCTAGCATTATTGGCTGTTAATAAAGATTTATAAATAAATGTTGAAGAATCTCTTCTGGAATTCATTAAAAAACTCTTTTTGTGCCTCTCTTCTTGCATTGTTCCAGATTTTCATGGCTCTTTTGGTTTCTTTTTGAAAGTTTTAGAAGTCACTTGACCATATGGAACATGCTGAGATTCTTGAGAACTCTGGGTCATATGTCACCACACATTTCCCTTATAAAACTAATGTAATAAGCACATTTTCTTAATGGAGCTGTAAAAATGCAATCCCAGCTTTAGTAGTTACATTTCTGATTTTGACATTTATTTTGTAATCACGCATGTGCAGTTGCAGCTAATAAAAAAATGGATGCCTACAACATATGACTAGAATAATTTAATAACTTCCTAAAAATTGTAAGATGGCAGTAGATTAGAAGGTTATACATATCAAATATAGTTCAGTGAGACTAAAAGTATATTCATTCAACTATTTGCATAAGAGTATTATAGCTACCCATGTATGTCATGCCATTGCATTCCTATTTGACACGACTTGATATGGTTACATTGTCCACCTCAAAATCATATTTAATGTTGTCCTTCAGATTATTATGCTACGCTGTCAGTCAAATGCGTTCCTAATGTATCCTGGTTATGTCTTAAAAGTTTAATTTCCTCATCAAAGTGCTTGGCTTTCTCTATCAGGGGAGCTGGCTGCCTTCTCTGCCAAGCAGCAGGAGACAGGGCCCATGCTGTCTCATACTTCACACTCAGCCATTAAATCCAGCTACTTGGAATGCAGTAGCTGTAACTGACTGCAAAAGATGGCCACAGGCATCTGAAGGCCTCAGCTAGGCCCCGTCTTTACAATATAGAGATTAAGTTTATTTGTTCCGTTACTACAAATCCAATCACCCCAAGCTTAGTTTTAGTTAATAAGCTAAAATGTAGATGGAGGGCGAAAAAAATCTTGCAGCTGAAACACACTCTTCCCACTACTAACAGGCAGCATGTGAACATGTTGTGAATCTAGTTTTTATTGTGGCGGTTGTTTAAAGCATTGTTCCACAACATGCTGTAATCCTGCATTGCATTTAATGTTGTTCTGTTTTGTCTTCTTTACTCGCAGAGAAAGTGTCGGACAAAAAGGGATCATTAGAAAAGGTGAAAAGTTCTAACAGCATCTCACAAAAGTCCAAAGGGAATTCCAGCCAAGATAAGTAAGTTGGGTTTTTAATTTTTTTTTTTAATATTATGTGTTTCTTGGAAAGTGAGTGAAACGTATACCAATTCACCGTACACAGAATGCATACATATATGGGCATACGTTGCAGAAAGCTAACGTTTGCGTACAAAAAGTCTTTTTACTCAAATCTTGCCGTTGTTTTTCTTCTGCTGTATTAAAACTTCGTGAAGAACAAAATTGTTGGTTTTGATTAGCAGTAAGCCATAATACTAAATTAACTAAATTAACTGTGCAGTATAACCATAAATTTTCCCCTTTTTGGATTGAATCACTGAAATAAATCAACTTGAAACCTACATGTTCTGTTTCTGTTTGCTTATGAGAGAGAAACCAAAAAAGCTTTGTTGTATGTTTTAAATTAGAGCAACCATTTCTGTGCAGCTGCACAGGTGTGTCACTGCCCTGTTATTACAAGCCAGTGCTGCACAAAACAGATCAAAGGGCCAGCCATGACAATAGCACACTTTTCAGCAGCAGTTCAAATTTGTTTGCAGCTTTTTTAAATGCAAATGTGAGAGCAAGTTTAAAGTTTAGCTTTTAGGTTTTTATAATTTTGCTGCTTGTTACTGTATCAGTTAATGTGATCTAACAAGGTGTTCAATAGTCCTGCTGACTTTGTTGTTAAACCTAGAAACACTACCTTGCAAGAAGGTAGTGTTTGGTTACAATAAATTCCTAGAAAAATCACACAGTTATGATTTAATGCGTTTCTTTTTCTCTCATCAGCATTAATTACTGCACACACAAGCA